TATATATCTTGCCATTATGCAAAAATTACAGATAGAATTATTTTCTAAACATAACCAGTTATCATTAGCTACTTGGCAGTACTTCTTTGAGAGGTATCATACTGAATATTTTCTTTGATGAGTGGGAAAAGATGATGTAGTTGAGAATAATGAGGATTTTTATTCTTATTTTACCATAAAATTCCATAAAACTCCCATCCCAAGCATGAGAACTTGGAGAAATTGCCCAGCTGTCCTCAGCCTCCATTTCCTCATTGATGAAATGGAAATTGTTCCTGGGGTTTAGAACTGAATGAGTTCAAAACGGTAAGAACCCAGTGTTTATTAACTCATTTTGCCCCCAGTGTCCTACGCATAGGAGACCTATCATGACTTAATTTGAGCAATAAAGATGCCACTTATGGTAACTTTGAAATAAATATTATGTCATTGAAATGTTTACAAAATTGAAAGCTTGGGACTTAGTGCTTCATCCAAGTGGGACCTCTCTCAGTTCCAATGACAACGTGACAACGTAGGGGATGTCTCTGTTCCTCATGTATTTGCACAAAGAGTGCCTTCTGAGTTCTGCACACAGCAGCTCACAGGTGGTCTTCTCACAGGACCCATGTCCTGCGAGTGCTGTGAGAAGCAGGGGACACACTGGCTGGTCCCCACTTCCAGGTCAGTGGAATTGATTGTAGCCAGAACCCCAGACCTGGCCAGATGCCAGAGGGGCTTAGTACCCAGCAGATGATGAAGTGGCTCTCACAGAAACAGGATTTTTCCCTCGGGAAGATTTGAGCATTCACTTTGCCTTATGGTAATGCCTTACCTGGAAATTAAATTGACTCTGCTGGTGGAGCCAGTGTTGGTCACCATTGGATGTAGGGACAACTTTAACAATAGTGATGTAAAAACAATATTAATTCTGAATTTTTAAATATAGGCTGGACAAACATCTTACTGTGCTTAAATTGACTTTTGTATTTTTTTTAACAAGAAATGAAACCCTTGAGTTATTCTTTATTTTACCTTGGGAGTAGATCACAACCTGCAAATTCCCAAATTATGTTCATTAGTTCTTTGCAATCTCCCTTCCTCCCTCCCTTCCTTTCTGTCTCTCGATGTATGATATGGGGTTAAGGGCAGAGAGTGTGAGAAATATTAATCACATTCTAACTCTGACCTTGAGCGAATTCTAGCAGTTTCACTGCCTGCGTGTAACTATGGTAATGCCTTCTCCTTCAGAGGACGGGGCAGCAAATCAGGTGAACTCTCTGGCTGGCTTTTCTCCTTGATCCACTGGATCCCAAATTCTAAATCCAAGTAGCATCATGGTTCATTAGCTGATGCTTTGTAAACCTCATTCACCACACAGTCTTCCCCAAAGCTTGGGTCAGTTCCCATCTCTGAACTTGCATTTTATCCCTTTTGTCTGAATACTCAAGTCCATATTGGTCCCTGTGATATGCAAGCCCGCCACAATCTGACTTGTCCTACATTATTCTGCCATTTCCTTACCTGATGTTAACATAATAATTTGTGATTTTTTTCCCTATTACTCAGCAAGATAGAAACTACCCGAGCTATATCCAACCCCAAGCCTACAGGTGGTCCCAGTCTCTGGCTTCCTTTTGAACATAAGAGAATACATACAAAAACACTGGAGTGAGTCTGCTTTCATTGACACACACATGCATAGTAGCAACGCACTCTGAACCTTGTATTGTGGAAGGATAAGGCTTTGCCATGTGGCTTGCATTTGCATCTGGTAGGGACACCCTTTATTCTGACAAATGTAAAGGACAAAACAGGTTGGTGGGCTGGAAGCTTTCTTATAAAACAAGAGAATATGCAAGTGTATCTATTTCAACAAGATTGTGGAAAAATGGAACTAAAAGGTAATTTAATTTTGGTGTAGAGAGATTTGGAAATCTATGCATAGCTTTTTTCATAATATACATTCCCGTGAACTTTCTGAAGTATGCTTGTATACAGTATTAATTATCGAAAAGTACATGTACCTAATTATAGCTTTTAACATTTTTATAGATTAAGTAAACAAGTATAATTTCTTTTTTTTTTTTAAAAAGATTGTATTTATTTATTTGAAAGGCAAAGTTACAAGAGAGAAAAGGAGAGAGATCTTCCATTGGGTGGTTCAGTCCCCAGATGGCCTCAAGCCAGGATTTACTTCCGAGTCTCCCATGTGAGTGGCAGTAGCCCAAGGACCTGGGTCATTTTCTGCTGTTTTCTGAGGTGCATTAGCAGGAAGCTGGATTGGAAGTGGAGCAGCTGGGTGTTGAACTGACACCCATATGGGACGCTTAACCCAATACTGTGCCACAGCGCCAGTCCCATAACTATAATTTCTTATAGCAATCAAAATTTAAAAAAAAAAAAGATGTTTATTTATTTGAAAATCAGAGTTAGAAAGAGAAGGACAGGCAGAGAGGGAGAGAGAAGTCTTCTATCTGCTGGTTCACTCCTCAATTGGCCGCAATGGCCAGAGCTTTGTCTCCCACATGGATGCAGGGGCCCAAGGACTTGGGCCATCTTCCACTGCTTTCCCAGGCCATAGCAGAGAGCTACATTGAAAGTAGAGCAGCCAGGACTCGAACTGGTGCCCATATGGGATGCCGGCACTGCAGGCCAGGGCTCTAACTCGCTACACCACAGCACCAGCCCCAGCCCCAGCAATCATGTTTTGATATTTAAGCTTACCACATGAAAGAGTAAATTTGTGAAAATTAAAAAAATTCTAGTGAAGTGTTCAGTATCTCAGGGAACTTCTCATTTCTTCCCCCAAAACTCAGATAATACCATGGAAATACCTGTGTAGACATAAATCTTCACTGTTGAGGCTTTGGCTCTGTGACTAGTGGATGTGAGAATTACCTCATTCTCCTCACGTATATTTACAAGTGTCAGGTCTTAAAAAAGAAGTTTCCCAGCTTTTATAAAACTAATGTATAATCATTAAGAGAAATTTGAGAACTTACAAATAAGAAAAAGCTGGACTGACTTCATGACATCACTCAGTGACAACTCACAAGAATTCTGTATATTTCATCCTGTGTATTCTATCTACAGGTAGATTCAAATTTCTAAGTTAGAATCTCAGTGTGCAAATTTTATAGTTGCTTTCATTATTTGTAATTGCAGTTTTACAGATAAATTAAATTAACATTGATTTCTACCTAAATAGAAAAAGCAATCTTCACTTTAAAAAATTCAGAAAAGACAGGCAGGAAATAGTAAAGATACAAGAAAAAGTTGCCTTCCATTCCTGAACTTAGATGTAAAAATCACTCTTACATATTACCATTTTTATGTGTCCTTCCTATATTTTTCCAAGTATATCCATCTATATATATAATCATATTTTAAAAACAAAATTGAAATCATAGTTTTGCTTTCTACCTGTTTTCCCATGTTATAGCCTTAACAATTAGCATTATGAAAATGTGTATTACCTGTGTTTTGGCCACTTGGTGTCTTTTTAATACTTTTACAGTAGTCCCAATGCTTCATTCTTCTGAATCCTACTTTAATCAGCATATTTGTGTAAATGCCTTTTTTTTTTTTTTTTTTTTGGTTTGGGGCCCATTCTCACAGAGTAGATCGTCAGAAACAGCAGTATCCCTCAAACAATAAAAATTGCATTCATTTGGCTAACCTGCATCTTCCCAGGCAGTTTCCTGGGGGCTGAGCACAGGCCAGGGTGGGGCTGCTTTTCTTTATTTCTCTTCATCACCTGGGTGCCTCTAAGCTGCTCCGCTCCCAGAAAGGACTAAAACAAATTGTTGACAGTGGTTCCCGTGACACCTTCAAGGTCTTCCTTTTTTTTGGTCAACAATTGAAGCAGGTTTCTGAAGAGATCTGTGCACGATACCTTGTGAGGCTCTGACAGCCTCACTGCAGTGGCGGAGGTGTGGAAGCTGTTGGTCTCGTACTCTCTCTAGGTTTGCTTTTCCAAGGGCATGGGTGAGCCCCCCGGCTGTGGCTCTGTGGTGGTGGTGATTGGGTGTACTGGTTTTGGGGGTTGTGGTTGCCTTGGATGCCTCTTCCTGGAGATCCGTGTCCATCTTACACAAATGCAACCTCGAGTGTGTGGTTTAGGCAATTAAAACAACTGAAATCAGCGCAGCATCCATACTTGAGATTTGTGTGCACCGTCGCAACAAAGGAAGGACTTTTTTCCCCTTCCAGTGGAATCTTGCTGATTCTATTGCTAGTGAAATTCAGCAGATCCTCCAGCCTGGTGCATGTCACCGCACGCTTTGCTTTCTCATCCTTTCCTGATTGTCTTGGCTGAGCCTGTAATTGCAAAGGAATACATTTTCTTTAAAAAAAAAAAAAACTGGGGTGGGAATTTGGCGTGGAGATTAAGATGCCACTTGGTATGCATGCATCCCTTATGAGCATTCCTAGGACTGGGTCCTGGCCCTGCTTCTGATTCCAGCTTCCTGCAATGCGACCCCTTGTGAGGCAGCAGGTGATGGCCCCAGTAGCTGGGTCCCTGCCATCCATGTGGGAGACCTGCCTTGAGTCTGGGACTCCAGCAGATGCGAGATCAATCTCTCTAATAAAATAAATTGAATTAAGCTGGTGCTGTGGCTCACTAGGCTAATCCTCTGCCTTGAGGCGCCGGCACACCGGGTTCTAGTCCCAGTCGGGGCGCCGGATTCTGTCCCGGTTGCCCCTCTTCCAGGCCAGCTCTCTGCTGTGGCCAGGGAGTGCAGTGGAGGATGGCCCAAGTGCTTGGGCCCTGCACCCCATGGGAGACCAGGAGAAGTACCTGGCTCCTGCCATCGGATCAGCGCAGTGCGCCGGCCGCAGCGCGCTGGCCGCGGCGGCCATTGAAGGGTGAACCAACGGCAAAGGAAGACCTTTCTCTCTGTCTCTCTCTCTCTCTCTCACTGTCCACTCTGCCTGCCAAAAAAATATAAAAAATAAAAAATAAAAAAAATTTTTAAAATTGAATTAAAAAAATCTCTCCTTGGTTTCTTCTGGCAAGCAACATAAAATACCCTCCAGCTGAATTCAGCAGAGGAATTGTGGAGAAGCAGTGTCTTTGCAGTAAACGCAAACTCCTTGTCTGATGACTGGTGGCTCCGGCCCCAGCCCTCCGGGCCCCAGGCACTGAGGCCAGGTGTTGCAATGCTTCAGGGAGCTTCAGGTCCCCCACCCCCACCCCCACTGCTGCCCTCTCCCCAGGAAGGGATCCTGGGATTCTCTGTGGCACCTGCTTCTCTTGTCTTGTTCTCTTTCACACCAGAGACGCGCACAGGTGAATCTGAGCGGCCTGACCTGGGCTTGCATGGAAGCTGATGATTGCATTTTGACTTCTAGAGTGGAGAGGTAGGAGGATGACCCAGAAATGTCTCCAAAGATGGAGGAAAGTGTTCAACAGATAGTGACCGGTCACAGCATAACTGGTCCTTTCCTGCCCGTCACCTGCCCGACGGGCTGCCGCTCAGTGCTAAGTGCACACGAGGGTCTGTATGACACCTTGGTAAACGGATCACATGAGGGAATTTATATTTCAATTCAAAGATATGCTCTGTTACTTATAACAAGTGGTAACACCTTCTTCAATATCCAAAATGCTATAAATGAACAGGGCAGCTAATGGTCCTTTTTATAAAGGTTTAGACAGTTGTTTATACGGGACGTCTTTGAAAAAAAAATGTTGCACTTCTTGCCTACTAAAAATTAAACTGGTAACTAAAACTACCAACAGATGCTTGCGTTGTTGGCCCAGAGACAGAGTGGAGGTTTTTTGGGTTCCGGACCATCTTGCCCTGCAGAGTGCAGACCATTAAGGAATTGCAGAGCGAAGAAGAAAATATCAGATTCTGGGGTCACAGCGCCACCTGGAGAATAACAGAAGGTTGTTCAGGCAGTGTGTCCTCGTGGGTTCAGAGCTTACATAACAACCACAGGGAAAGGAAGACTTTTATGGACCCCGGTGCATCGTGACCGAGTGGACTCAGCGGCAGCCGCATGGCGTTACATGTCAGCACACTCATCTCTGAGTACGCAGGAGTCACTCTGGTGCAGACCTCTCCTGCAGGACGTTCAAGGAGCAAGCTCGAGGGAATGCTAGACTCTCTCCTGCTTGATATCAAGGGCTCAGCAAACCAATACTGACTTTAGAAACCAATTCCCCGCCTGGCCTGCCTGCCTAGTCCCACACCTCAGATAGCTGTGTGCCTCCTGAAACTGCCTTTAAGTTCCTGTATCCTGAAACCATCTTACCGTGCAGTTGTGATTTGTTAATCACTGAGGGTCTAAGGTAACAGTGTGTCCCCCACCCCGAAACTGCCTCCTGACTGACTGCCTTGGCAATTTAGGGTATAAAAGTAGGGAAACAAAGGATCAGATGGGGCTTGATTCTTGAGACATTAGTCAAGCTGGCATGCATAAATTAACTGTGTGTCTTTCCTCCCCAAAGCCTCCAGCGCCTTTTGGTTTCTTTGGTCTCTTGCCGGTAACAACTCCTGCATGCAAGCATTTATTTATGTGTTGACTTCCCTGTTGGTGCCAAGATTATGGGGATGGAGAACACAGGCTTGGTTTGTTTCCCTTGGTGCTCTCACTTTAATGGGGAGTCAGGATTCAAGGCAAGGTACCAGCAAGGGCTAGAAAGTTGGTATGGGAGGCCGGCGCCGCGGCTCACTAGGCTAATCCTCCGCCTAGCGGCGCCGGCACACCGGGTTCTAGTCCCGGTCGGGGCGCCGGATTCTGTCCCAGTTGCCCCTCTTCCAGGCCAGCCCTCTGCTGTGGCCAGGGAGTGCAGTGGAGGATGGCCCAGGTGCTTGGGCCCTGCACCCCGTGGGAGACCAGGAAAAGCACCTGGCTCCTGGCTCCTGCCATCGGATCAGCGCGGTGCGCCGGCCGCAGCGCGCAGGCCGCGGCGGCCATTGGAGGGTGAACCAACGGCAAAGGAAGACCTTTCTCTCTCTCTCTCTCTCACTGTCCACTCTGCCTGTCAAAAAAAAAAAAAAAGTTGGTATGGGGACTGGAGGCTGTTCTTGTTTGGGTGGTGGCCGTGTTTAAGGAACATCTGTCCTCGTCTGTGTTGCTACAACGGGGTCATCTGGAACAATGGATTTTTTTCCTCAGAGTTCTGAGATTTGCAAGTCCAACATAAAGGTGTCAGGATTGGTGCCTGATGAGAGGCCCCACTGTTCTTTCCTGGATGGTGCCTTGGTGCCTTGCCCTCCAGAGGAGAGAACTGACCTTCTCCCTCGACCCTGCTACTGAGAGGAGTCAGGCGGGGCCCAGTGATGAGGAAAGGGAGATCTCTTTGAGATGGTGCAAAATGCTTGCTTCCCCCCAAAAAAGTGATCTTTAGCAAGATCAAGGTGCCAAATTCCATTGCACCCCAAGAGCTTCCTTTAGCAAGACAAAAGTGCCTGTCACTCCTTGCCAGCTTCCAGTTTATCATGAGAATAGCAAGGAAGTGGGGATTGCACCCTTCTGAATTCTCAGTTTATCATGAAAACAGATCTTACCCTTCTTCTTCTCCTTCACCTTCTTTTTTGTCTTATCATGAGCAAGCTAGACCGGGCAAATATGATTACAAATCCAGCCTTTTGATGGGTTTTGTCCCTGCCTTCTAACTGATCCTTAGCTTTCCAAAACTTGTGCTTGAAAACCCCACATCCACCAGCCTTTGATCACTGTGGCAGGAGGTTTCTGACTTAAATAAATCTTGCTTTTCTCTCTGTCTCATCTGCGTGGGAATTCTTATTTCATGTGAGCCAAAGAATCGAGGTCATCTTTCTCCACCACCATTTCACCCCTAACATTATTAGGGCCCTGAATCCATACATGAGGCTCTGCCTCCAGCTGTGGCTGCCTCTTCAGACCCCAGCCCCTACACCATCACACCGGCAGCTCTGTTTCCACATATGCATGTGGGGAATACGTCAGGTCACAGCAGCTTCCTTGGTGGAGTGACCAGGAGGGTGTCTTGAGGGGGAGTAGAACTTAGCGAGGTGCACAACAGGATAGGGGGATCCTGGGTAGCAGAATCGAGAGTCAAGCCCCTGAGGCAGGAGTGGGTGCCCCAGAGGACGGGTCACAGGGAGGGCAGGGGAGGATGGTGTGAAACCAGGTCAGAGAGGGAGGCTACGCTGTGGGTAGGAACTTAAGATTATACCCTAAGCACAACAGGAAGACAGTAAATAATTTAAAACAAGGTCATGGCAAACAAATTTGCCAAACTGTTGAGCTAAATACAAATGGACACATTTAGCATTACCCAGCACAAGAAGATTCCAACGAAGACAAAATATTATGATCAGACTTCAGTGCCTGGGGAGCCTGGGGAGCACTGCTGCGATCCTTGGGCGCCCCCTGCAGGCACTAAACCAAATGACTGAGAGATGGGACGGGTGGCTCCTGGCCCCCACTCAGGATGGCTCAGGCGGTGTCGGCACGGAAGTCTTAGCACTGGCAACCTAGTGTTGCCGTTGCACACACTGCCATGCTATGATGCAAAGAGCTCATTTTTTGCTTTTTATGACAGACTCTAAATTAAGCTGGGTCGTGTCTGGACGATTTTGTCTCCTCCATGTCAATTCAAACAAGTTTTGGGTTTTTCCTCTCTCTTTCTTTGTAAGTTCCTCACAGAGCATGGAGTATCCATCCTGGTAGTTACATGGTCCTTGGTTACTGTTTCTTGAGTTCTTGTTGGAGTAACTAGTAACACTTTACAACATACTTTGTAACATACAGCATACTTCCTAACATGTGGGTTTTGCTGTGGTCTCTTTATTAGCTAGAATGGGAGCTGCACAAGGACAGGGATTTTGTCAGTTGTACTCCCAGTGTGGTGCACCTGCCCTTCTTGGTCCAGCAACATGCCACCGTTGACCCTGCGCTACTCCTCCCAGACCACATCCAGGCCTGCAGCTCTGGAAGCCAGGAAGTGTGGAACGCAGGGTCGCCACCCAGAAGCTCCACCAGGCCAAGCACCTTGTCTGACTCATCGTCCTATTTGCAGTAGCAACAAACGCACACACCAACTCCCTCATTTTGGTGTGTCAGAGCCAGGGGTTACAGGTTCTGACAGACAAGCACACAGGTGAGGCAGGTGCTCTGGGAGTGGCCATCTTGGTGTGCGTGTATGTGTGTGTTGGGGAAGGGGAGGACTGGAGAGGGCATAGTAGCAAAAATGGGCCAAGCTCAGTTGGCACCAGCAGCTGCTGGCACGCAGGAACACAGGTGAAATGTCATTGGGACTGTGATCATTCAAGCTCAAGCAAAACTAAAAGGCTGATATTGTCGAGTGAAGTTGCTTGAATTTCAGATAGTAGTTGAATGAAAGAAAACTGCATGAATGAACTGGCATATCTTGGATCCGGTTGGTGGGTGGGTGGTTTCCAATCCGCTGTAAGGAAACTTCTTCATTCACCCTTGGCCAGGAAGTTACATTCACGTGGCCTTTGGTGCTTTTCTGCCCTGACCTGCAGCCACCAAATGCTTCTACTTGTACCCTGGGCCTCTCCATTTTGCTGGTGCAAACAGCTGGGGACAGTGTCCTGCAGAAGAAAGAACCAGAAACAAAGGGTGCAAAGGCTCAACCGCAGGAAATGAAAGAATTCTAAACAGGAGACTTCAAAGTCCCCAGCACAAGAACACCTGAAGAACTGACTTCCCTGCAGGAGAGAGAGAGAAGATCAAAGGACAGAAAAGGTTAGGGGAGAGGGGTGACCCAGGATGGTGAGAAATAGAGTAAGAGCCCCTGAAACTGGAAGCCAGCGAGGGTTTCCAGCCACTGTAGCCTGCCCAGATGAAAGGACACTGCCCTGGGGCCAGTGCTGGCGGTACAGTGGGTGAAGCCACCCACAGCACTGGCATCCCACACAAGCATTGGTTGGAGCGCTGGCTGCTCCACTCCCAATCCTGCTCCCCACTGATGCACCTGGGAAAGCAGCAGCACATGGCCCCAGTGGCCCCTGCACCCATGTGAGACCCGTAGGGAGTTACAGGCTTCTGGCTTCAGCCTGGCCCAGCCCCAGGCCATTGTGGCTATGTGGGGAATGAACCAGTGGATGGAAGACGGATCTTTCTCTGTCACCCTGCCTTTCAAATCAATCAATCAATCAATCAATCAATCAATCTCAAAAAGGACACTGGCCAGGCCTTGCAGACAGCGCCATCTGACGCCCAGACCTGCATGGAAGGCACAGTTGCTGAGCGCCCGGCTGCTGTCCTCTCTGCTTCCTCGTCCTTGTTTCAGACGCCCAGTGATGGGCAGGCAGCCGTATTTCCAGCTGTAGGGAATTAACCGTAATTGTTGAAGGTAATCATTAGGCTTGCTGCTTGGAGTTGGGAGCTGGCAACCGACAGAACAGGCAGGGGCCACGGGTGCCCGGTGGGCTGGGAGACAGGGTGCAGGAGGACCCTCTTACCAGGATTTAACCAAGGGGAAGCTGACTTGGGGAAAGCGCTCATAGGTATCAGCTAAATGATACATCACTGACTGATGGGAAGTGAGGCTGTAACTTTGTATTAAGCCTGACGTTCGGTTGGCAAAAATGTAAAAAACTGTCATCTTTTTCTCAAAAAAAAATGTTTTGCCTTGGCAAATAAGTTGCTTTTCACTTAAAATGTTGTTTCCTATTACTACGGAATGAGTTTTACTATTTTAGATGAATGAATACATTTTTTAAAATCCTGGTTTAGTTTCTAATATAGTAACTATCGATGAATGTAACTCACAAAAAGGGAAGTTCTTTGGTGTCCTCAATAATTATTAACGTTGTAAACGGCTCTCGAGGCTAAAATTTTAAAGATAATAAAGAATCAGGAGGATTAATTAGCTGTTCAGCTGCACTGTTGAATACACGCATAGGGGGCCTCCCCGGTCGCACCCTTGGAGTCACCAGGAGACACAAACCTCACATCCTAAGGGCAAGGCCCTGCGTTCCTACCTCTTAGGGAGCGCCCGTGTCGGATGCCGGAAAACAGACTTCCGGGCCCGCCCTCCAGGTCCCGGCCCGGCCCGGCCCGGCCCGGCCCGCCCGCCGCGCGCCCCCTGCCGTCCGCGGTCGGAGTCGGCGCCTCTGTCCGCCCCCAGGGAGACGCCTGTCTCTTTAATTGGCATGTACCAAGTCCTCCCAGGTTACGCTTGCTCCCCGAGTGCCCGCCGTGAGGAATCATTGGTCGGAGGCCCAGCAGGAGGGGATGAGGAGACGGCGTTGGATTTCTTTGGGAGTCCTGGGCCGGTAGGGCGTGAGAGGGGGCCCGCGGGTGACCGCACCGTTGCGGCCCTCCCCGCCTCGCCCCGTAGTCCAGTCCCAAGATGGCGGCCACCATGAAGAAGGCGGTGAGTGGGGCGCCCGGGGACCGGGCGGCGGCCGGGGTCGGTCTCGGGGGCCGGGGCGCGGGATGCGGGCGGTGCGCAGCCCTGGGGGCCGGAGCGGTCCCGGGGCCGAGGCCACCAGCCGACAGGGCGGTGCCGCTGCGGCGCCCGCCCGCGCCCCCGGCCCCGGGGCTCTGGGGGGTGCTCTGGGCCGCCTCTCGCCTCTCCCTTGGGGACTCCAGCGGTCCGGGTCTTGCCCCCGGCAGCGGCAAGCGACCGCCTCTTGACAGCCGCGGGCCTGACGCCCGAGGTGGGCTTCACCTGGGTACCGCGGCAGCGCTGCCGGGGCCGGGGGCCGGGGGCCGGGGGCCGGGGAGGCACCTGTCCGAGCGCGCGGCCGGGCGGAGGCCGGAGCGGGCCCGGCGTCCGCGTACGGGCGGGTGGCTGCGCCCAGCCCCTGCGTCTCCCGATGGGGCCTCACCGCCGGCCGATTATCGTCCGAGCGCCCCCTCCTCGCTGATGGGGAACCGTAGACGGCGGCGGTTAGTGGCTCTCAAGTGACTCAGCTGCCGCGCAGGGCTGGAGCTCGGCATCTGATCCATTTCCCTCCTGGGCTCCTCTTCTGGGAGGTGCTTTGGATCCTTATTTGGCAAACGAGCAATCCGAAGCGCAGAGGCCAAATCAGGGATTAGGCATTGCAGCTGTGGCGTTCTTAACTGCGGCGGGGGTCTCTGCTGCGGACCCCCCGGTCTTGGGCGCGTTTGCCTTCGTCCTAGCCCTGGGACCACGTTAGGACGTCCTTTGCTCTCTGACTGCCCAGCACCGCACAGTCCATGTGGCCTGGGCCTGGGCCTGGTGTAGGAGGCGCCCAGCCGTCCCATTCTGCAGCTGGGGATGAAGGGCTCACCCTCCTGGCCTGCCCCTGCCCCCTCAGATGCTTACGGAGCACCTGAGTAGGGGCCCCAGAGCCAGGGAGATGGAGACAAGCGTGAAACGTGAAATTCACTTCACCTGTGCTTGGTGAAATTGGGCCCTTTGTTAAGTGCGGGCTTTCATTCCACGGGGGATACCAGCAGTGGTGCGGCCGGCGGAGGTGGGGTGTGGAATGCAGAGAGCAAGTGAGCATTTGAGAGAATGGTAAGAGGATGATCTGAACCCTGAGCGCAACATTTCTGGGACCACCCTTTTTATTTGTTCCCTGCGGTTTTTTGAGCAGGGCACATAGCAGAGTCCGTTTTAAGGGACGGCCTGACAGTGATGAGCACTTGGAGTTTGCATCCTCATTGTATTGTTCGCTTGTTAGGCTCTTGGAGAGAAGCAGGCAGCACCGAGATTGTCCCTCAGAAAACTCGCTTCCACCTCCAGCGAGAACTGAGGGAAGCCGAGAGGAGGTGTCATTTGAAGCCGAGGTCTGAGATTACACAGGAGGAAGGGCAGAGCTGCAGAGGAAGTGAGGTTCAGAGGGGGGGAACCTTGTGCAGTTGATAAAAGGAAGGCAGACAGGGTAGGGGATGGGAAAACATGGTGAGGGACCGGCAGTGGCCAGTTCATGAAGGGTCTTGGGAGCTTGAGCTGTCTGTGTTTCCCCTCTGGGTTTAGTAAAAAGTGTATCCTTTGCAACCTGGAGTGCTTTTCGCTGGCTACATGTTAGCTGCCTCCCACTAGTCATGACTTCGCAGGTGAGAACCTTTAGTGGAGATGGCACAGTTCTCCCCCTTAAACGTCTGCTTCCTAAGCTTGCTTCCTGGGTCTCCTAGGTACAAATGTCCCCAGGCTCAGAAAGGCAGTCTTTGACCTCTCTCTAAAAAAGCTGCCTTCACTCCCCAGCTCCCCAAAACCTTCAGCCCCTAATAGAATTTATTTTTACTGTCACATTTATCACTGTGTAATGTTCTCTTGTTCACCCTGTTTTTGTCTGCCTCTTCCACCATGGAGGCTTGTCGGCGTTCAGGAAGGTAGGACTATGACTCCTGGCGCTTAGGAAATACTAAATAGTTGCTACATGAGTAGCTGTATGCATGAAAGGTGAACAAAACACAAAGCAAAAATTTATATCATATGGACTTGGTAGGCACCTTTCAGAAATGAAAATAAAAGCAGAATGAAATTAACCAGAATTTCTTTCTGAGGACGCAGCTGTCAGTGCAATCTGGGTGACACCCATGGTTGATGCGGGGCGTGACTGAGTATGGCTCCATTTCCTCCTGAAATCCCATGAAATGCTAATTTCAGGAAAAGGGCATAGTCGGAGCCCAGGGAATTTTAATTTTCAGAGTTACAGAGAGATCTTTCATCAACTGGTTCCCTCTGCAACTGACCACAATGGCCAGAGCTGGGCCATTTTCTGCTGCTTTCCCAGGCACGTTGGCAGGGAGCTAACTGGAAGTGGAGCAGCCAGGACTTGAACCGGCACCTATGTCGGATGCTGGCTTAACCTGCCCTAACCCTTCACCTTGTATCTTGTCATATTTTTCTTAGGCCTAGCACAATTCTAGGGGTGGACCTCTTGTTCCTTTGAAGTGATTTTTGGTTCTCAATATTGAGGAAAATAAGTGCTGACCTCTCATTTGTTGGTCCCAGGCCCTGGGTATTTTTTCACCCCAGCAAGGTGGGAACTGACTTCTCCATTTTAAAAACATGAAGTGATTCCAAAGAATTGAGTGATTTGCCCGAGGTTCCTATGCTTGGATTGGAACCTTTCTGACTGTGCCCCCTGTGGCCTCAGGTATCACAAAGTAACTTCCTCCTCCAAGAGCTCCTGCCTTCATGAGTGTGGTAACAGAGGTGGCTTCTCTTGAGGCAGGAGCCCCTAACCTGCTACTGTGGCTGCTTTGAGAATCTGAGTTCTGGAAAAACGCACTTCCTGCACACACTGTTGGGCACAGAGTCTCAGGGGGTGACCTGACCTCTCAGTGTCTGTGGACCCCAGTTAGGAACTGTCTGTGCCCAAAGGCAGTTCAGGAAAAGTAGGAGTGTTTGGCTCAGCAGGGTTAAAACAGAACATGTTAACTGTGCTGTCAGCCACCCTGATGAGTGGCCTGCAGATGCACCCAACTTCCGCCCTTCACCCCAGTGCGAAAGCCAGGTAAAGAACTGGACACCAGGGGCCAAGAGTGCTGGTGGCTGCTGTGTGGTGGGGCTGCAGTGGGAAGGTGGGAAGCAGAGAGCTGGATTCTCTACTGCTTTTCAGAAGCTGCAGACTTGAATCTGATCAAGCAGGATTTAGATTCAGAAGCAGTTGCGTGTCAGGCAGATCCTGACCACGTGCAGTTGTGTGGTGGAAAGGGAGGCCTGATGAGGGGCAGGGCCAGGTTCTAGGTGTCTGCCTTGAAATTCTGACCTCTGAGCTCTGTTGCTTGAGACTGCAGGTTGCCTTTCAACCTCTGGAGAAATAAAGGCGTGTATCTTGTGTCGCTGGTCGAGAGAGACCAGATGAAGGTCAGGACAGGATATTGTGAACCCTTTACTGTTACTGGCAAAAGAGCCAGCAGTCTTTATTGAGGCTACTTTTATGTTACACACATAAACATTTGTATGTAATTAATGCATATAACCTGTCATATTGATATGTACAATAAATTAACTCAGGATTATTTTTATATACACAGTTTTCTTTATACTACAATCAGGTTCTCTTGCTTCTATTTTATAAATGATGGGAACCCTAGGGAGACTCTGCTTACTTGTTTATTTAATATGTAGATCCCCTCTGAGAATCTGATGAAAGCAGAGGACTTCCACTGCCCCTCCTAAGTACGTGTAAGTCCCTGTGCACACACATACACGTGTGCATGCTCCCACGTTCTGTTTCCAAGAGCCCTTTGGGCCTGTCTGCGGCCTCTAAGCCAGGCTGCCTGGGTTGAAGTCAGGCGCTCCCACTTGCTGACTGTGTGGCTTTCCGTGGGCTGTGCCCCAGCTTCTCCAGCTGTAAAGCAGTAGTGCTGAGTGAGAATCCCTCCTGCTGAGACTGGAGGGTTAGCGGAGTAGGTGATGCACATAGAAAGGTCTGGATCCACAGGGAGCGTTCAGTCAATGTGAGCTATTATTTTTATTTTTTCATAGTTAATTATGTCACCCAAGTATTTTTTAATGTGATTGTGACATTAATGTTGCTAAATAATCCGCTGCTCCAATTGACTTATCATCTAACTTTTAAACTTATTTTCATCTTTTGCCAGTATGACTTTTTTTTTTTTTAACAGGCAGAGTTAGACAGTGAGAGAAAGGTCTTCCTTCCGTAGGTTCACCCCCCAGATGGTTGCCACGGCTGGCGCACTGCGCCGATCTGAAGCCAGGAGCCAGGTGCTTTTTCCCAGTCTCCCATGCAGGTGCAGGGCCCAAGCACTTGGGCCAAACTCCACTGCCTTCCCGGGCCACAGCAGAGAGCTGGCCTGGAAGAGGAGCAACCAGGACAGAACCGGCACCTAGTGAGCCACGGTGCCAGCCTATGACTTCATTTAAAAAAATTTTTTTTAAAGATTTATTAATTTATTTGAAAGTCAGAGTTACCCAGAGAGAGGAGAGGTGGAGAGAGAGAGAGAGCGCGCGCGCACGTGCAGCCTGAGAGAGAGAGAGAGCACGTGCAGCCTGGTTTCAAACCGGCGCCCATATGGGATGCCAGCACCGCAGGCCTGCTGCACCACAGCGCCGGCCCCCCAAGTATTATAAATACTCAAACATAGTCATATTCAATGATTATTGTATATATTAAATTTTTAGTATTAAGCATTCAGTTTTCACATTTATAGTGAATTTTACCACATTAATGAACACATGTAAGCAGATGCTACATTAAAATGAATGTATTTTTGCTGCATGTGGAGTATAACCACTGAAATGCAGTTCTTTGGCCAATATAGCAGTTGGGTTAAAGACTCAGATTTCTGATCACCACAGTAAGTTCACGGAAGTCCTGACTAAGAAAAAACAAAAACTGTGAGGCATTTCCCAACA